GCCACTCGGCCGGCCCTTTTTTTTTTTAATTTTTTAATTTTTAAAAATTTTTATCTGAACTATCCTGCCACCTGTTGGCAGCTCAGCGGCAGCTCAGCTTGGGCTGGGACTCGAACTGCTGTTGCTCAGAGCTTGCAATCTTGAGCGAGCTCTTAACCAACTGAGCCACTCGGCCAGCCCTCATATTTGATTTCTTTGCCTTTGAGAACAACTTCCACACTAAATCCTTCCTGCTTCAGCCTTTTCAATCTGTCTGGGAGATCGGCTAAAGATGTATGATGGATAAACTGCAAACATAGCAACATGATACCTTAACTTCTCAGGGCCTCAGTTTCCTCAAAACCAAAAGAAAATGTTTGCACTGGATGATCTCTAGGGTCCCTTCCAGTTTTATGATTCTGCAGACGAAGAAAGCAGACTGAAGAGAGTGCCATACAGCCCATAGCAAAACAGAAAAAAAGACAAAATATAGTATTAAAGGGTTGAAAAAGCATTAGAGAAAGGTAAGTAAAGTTCCAGGGAGTAAGAATTGAAGCAACAGGTAACCCCTGAAGCAGCAGCCAAATGAGGGGAACTGAAGCAACCAATAAAAAGGGCTTGCGAGTTTGTTAAGAGAATAATAGTGATACCTAACATTTAAGAGCTATTACATGCCAGTATTGTTTGGATCACTTAAATATATTATTTAATGCTCATATTTCCTATGTACATTTAACAAAACAGATGGGAATACTAAGGAAGAAGTTCTCAATGCTTTCCAAACTTCAGCATGGACAGTAGTCTCCCCTTATCCAAGATTTTGCTTTCTGCGGTTTCATTACCTGCAGTCATAGCATCATCACGAGAAGGGTGAGTGCAGGTACAATAAGATAGTTTGAGAGAAACCATATTCACTTTAATTTTATTACAGCATATTGTTATAATTATTCTATTATTTGTTATTGTTATTGTTAATGTTTTCCTGTACCTAATTTAAACTTTATCATAGGTCTGTATGTATAGGAAAAAAACAGTATATACTGAGTTTGGTACTATCCACGGTTTCAGGCATCCACTGGGGGTCTTGGAATGTGTCCCCCACAGATAAGGGAGGACTACTGTATATGAATCACCTGGGGATAAATGCAGTTCTCATTCAATAGGTCTTGATGAGACCTGACATTCTGCATTTCTAACAAGGACCCCGATGATGCTGATACAGCTGCTCAAGGATCACACTTTGAATAGCAACATATAACTAAATGAAGGAAGCAAGATTTAAATTATGGCAATCCAATTCCAAAACAAGACATTATGTTAAAGGAATTTATTATATTTAGAAGTAAAACTGGTAGCCTATCTGCTTTCTTGTTCTGAAACAGACATTTAAAACTTAGCATTATCATTTAATGAGTACTAACAAACCAGGATTATACTACAATAAGCCTCTCCTTTATACTCGTTCAGGGTAGAGCTCCAAGTTCTGAACATTTTTCACTAATTCATTATGAAATTACCTCTACTTCCTTTCGTATGTATGCATCTATATAGTCATACATATGAGTATGTAAAGCAGTTAGCAACAAAGACCACAAAAATAGTTCACAGAAATCTTAAGATTACATCCATCCACCTACATTTACCAATGGCTATTCAGTTTTTCAAAAGAATTAAATAGCTTCATTTTACCACTGCAAAAGAAACATAATTTTATATCTTGGAAGATCCAAAATAACTGTTATATGATTAATTTTTTAGTAGGTTGCTCTTACACAGTTAAATGATAAAATAAAACGGGCATACAACCTCACTTCTAGAGAATTTCAAATGAAAAGAATAGAAAAATAAGTTTTGGAAGCCACATTACTTAATGTGGCTTGAAAAGAAACAGAACGCCTCACATTTTAATTTTGCAAATCTCTCAATAAACAACAAAAAAAAACCCCTATTTCTAAAGAGTCTAGTAGAGGCACTGAAAGCAGAAGCAGCTTCTTCTCACTAAACCAAGGTGATATTTCTTCAGAAAAAATGAAAATGTAGAAAACTACAGCCAAGACACTCATCAAGATCTATGTAGGGAAGTAAAGGGGGCATAATTTAGAATTATATACTTTGAGCAGTTTGAACAAGTTCTCTTGGGAAGAGCTGGTGTATTGGCAGCTGAAATGTACTCAGTGATGCACAGTGTGGAGCAGAAAAGCTGTGTAGACCCTTTCCTCTGATAAGCAGTTTGCCCCTTCTGGAGGATTTTTTTGCAGCCAGCACAGGAAACCTGAACAGCTGTGGCTGGAGCTGAAGGAAGCATTTTATTCAAGCCAGATGATGCCAGAGAAAGCTGAATGCCTATAGTCAACTGTGAGGCTATAAACACAAAACAGGAAGAAGAAAAATTAGTATTTATATAAAATTAAGTATGCTTTCATTTTATTTTAGAGGTTACTTCTGGAATTAAAACTCAAAACAAACAATGCATTCTAAAAAAGTAGAAAAACTTGACCATCATATTGGTCAGAATAAACATGATTGACTTAAATAATCGTATTACCACTGTCTGAGAACGTAGTGTTTATTTTCAGTTCATTCTCCTGAGTTTTGGAATGTTGGGCTTGACAATACTCCTAAAAAAAAGTTGAAAATAATGAATACAATGCATTTTAAACAACCGTCATTTGATAGAACAGAAATGATAAATTATGCTCAAGTCTATTCAGTGAATTGTATAAACTATAGGTAAGCATTCCCTTTTTAATGACATTTGGCTGACAGCAGCAACCAACTACTACATTAGCTCTATCCTACCTAAATGTGATTTAAGAAATTTTTGTTAACACAGCCCCTCATTAGCTACTACAACTAGAGTAGACATACACAATAATGACACCTATTTTCCTTCCTTGTTATCTCTAACAACTCATTTTTTTCATAAAGTCCTAAACACAAGAACTGTTAGATTGGGCTGAATGAGTTCACAAAGGAGGGCTTTTTTCAGGGCAGCTGGCAATCTATTTAAACTTGACCGCAATCTATCTAAACTTGCCCTGTTTTTGAATGTCTATGGGTTGAAAAGGCAACAGGTATTTCCTACATGGACAATATTCCACAGTGTCACCAACACAATGGGATTCATATCATTACTTGATACTGATTTACTTTAGGCTCTTTCTAAACAGATTACTAGAAATAAATTAATATTGAATTTACTTTTTGTTTCATTAGAAATTTCAGCTAGATCATATGCAAACATTCTAAGGAAATTTGGCCCTACAGAACACTCACAGCTAGAATCAATTTATCCTTTATAGGTTCTTTAGCATATAATATCAAAAAAAGTTTAAGAATAAACATATGAAACTAATTTGGATTAAAACATTAAAAACAATTCTAAGAATTTAAATGTATTAATTCTACTACTTAATAGAGGCAGTAGCATAAAAACATATTAGTCACTTGTATTGTTTCAAGTTAAGAAAAACAAAGACAAAAATGTATTAACCTTAGCTAGGCCCATGATAGCCTAAGCAATCCTTTTATCAACCCAAAAAACCCAATTCCAAACAGTTCATTCTGTCAAGTCACATTCTTCTATATACTTGTCATGGCACTTAACCTTATATCATTTGATCAACTATTTTGGGGAAGATAGGATTTAAAATTTTCAACCAATAAACCAGTATCTGCGTAACTAAAATTTGTAAGTAAACGCTGCTCTAGAGAAAAGAAAGTAAGGTAAAATATGATTTACCTGGGTATTGTTGGGTTCTGTCTTAATTTCATCTAACTGCAGCAGCTGTGGTGCCACTGCCTTGTCAGGTTCACCCTCTATCGGTGATTCCTTCATCTGAGTATCTGATACAAAGGAATCCTCCAGTTCCAAACTAATGGGTTTCTTTTTGGGGAACAGTTTTCTCTAGATTCCTAAAATAAAATAGGAATTGATGAAGAGTCTTATTTTAAAATTAGTCCATTTAAATATGGTAATTTTCTGGAAGCCCAAAATGGTCTGTTGATAGCTAGGCCTCAAGGTTCTCAGAGCACCAACACTGACTTCCTTCCCTTCCTCCACTATTCCCCCATATAGCTTTGCTTTNTTCTGTAAAACATTCTTAATATTTCTGTTGCAACCCATTTCTTGTAAAGCTAGGCGTTTATTGTCTTACTGGGAAGTTCTGCTTAGAGTCTAGCTGGAGTAGCTGAAGTATGATTTTTTTTTAAAAGTGAGTCTGTCTGGCCTAGGGTCCGGGCCGAGACCCTTACACTGTCCAATGGCTGGCGACTGATCTACTTCAGCCAGGAAGAGTGCAATAATCACAATACCAACATGGGCCAGTGAAGCAATGTCCTCCACAACTAGACTGAAGAACAAAAGGACAGCAACTTGTCTGCTCCCCTCCTCCGATTCCCCAATTAAAAAAAAATTTTTTTTAAAGGCTGTATTTAGAAAGTGGGATATCTAAATATATTTTCAGAGGTGGAGCAATTTTAGGCAATCAAAGGGTTCAAAATGTGGCCACTGGGATGGGGAAGTTCAAGTGGAAAGGGGGAAAGTTCACTGAAAATGAGAAGCTAAAACACTGAGCGATCCGGGTGTTAGAAGCGTCCACGAGAAAGGTGAAATCATGGCAGAAGAGGAAAACAATGAGCTAGCAGTCAAATTCTTCAACGAGTGTTGAAGAGTGATTAGGAGATGAGTAGATGCCAGTAATAAGGAGTTGTGTCTAATAAAGCCTGATGGTATAAGCTTTAAAGAAACATTAATTTTTACATAAGAGCAGCAATGGGGAGCATGGGGCATGTAGATTCAAGTTGAGATCCTAAGGCAGGTGGCGTAGGAGACTGAGCATCCTCCACTTGCGAGAGCTGCAGGTGAAGTAGTTATCATTTGAAATAAACACAGCCAAGAGACCACAGAGGAGCATGTTGAAATGGAAAAGGGATAGGAATTGGATCCACACAACATTTGGATCCAAACTTGAACTCTGTTGGGAGCCAGCTGCGCCTCAGTGTTTGACATGGCCAAGCGCACTGCTATTGTGACAAATTCTGAAGCTCTGACTGAGAAACAGATACTGCTTTACATCTTGAAAAAATTTTAAATTCCCTTTTGGATNTATGGTTTTATTCTGAGTTAGTACATGAAAGATGCAAGAAATTTTGCCATTATCTTTTATTTCTGAGGTTGAAAATCAACCACCCTGATCTTTAACTCAAGTTTTTATTCAAAGCCCCAATAAAGAAGGCCTGACTGTGAAGTGCAATAAAAGCTCATATGGCCTCTGCCCAGCCAATCTGAGCATTACATACAACCAACAAAGCAGAACTCACTGGAAATTAACTACTAGATTGTCATTAAGTAGATTCCCTTCACCTGAAAGTAAATAGGCTCTGCAAGTCCAAACATCAATTAAAAGTAAAGTATCTCTGAGTTTTGGCATCTTGGAATCCCTTCAAAAGTGTCAGTCATCACACAAATAGGCAAATAATAGCCAAGACAATCTAAAAAACAAACAAACGTTAGAGGACTTACTAGAAAGCTACAGTAATTAAGACAGTATAGTATGGATACAAGCAAACATAAAATAACTAATGAAAAGAGTCTAGAAGCAGGTATACTCCAACCTCTTATTTTTTTGCATTCCAGATGCTTTGATATATGTTACACTTTGCAAAGATAAAACTATTCAGTTGAGTTCTGCAAGCTTTAACTGGCTTAATAGGAAGGTTAGAGGCAGAAGATGAAATGCCTTTCAAACTAAACTAAAATGTCCATGCTTATTCTTTAGGCAATGGGGAGCCACTATTTACAAAGTTACAGAGATCATTAGGATGTCCCCACACTCACAATGCTCTGCCTAGCAGAGTATAATTGCAATAATTTAAGTGTATACAAGGTACAAAGTAGAAATGAGGCAAGATGGTTAAAGTCTTCTAGAAGATGAACTTGAGGTAGGTTCTAAAGTAGGTTTCTATGAAGCAATAATGGGGGATATTTCAGGTACTATAGGGACAGCATGTGCAAAAGCACAAGTATATGGGCAGTGTAAGGAGTGGAGTTATTGTTGAAGATAAAATGCACACGTGGTAATAGAAGGAAATGAAGTTGGGAAAGCAGACAGGAATCATATCAAGGTCTTTAAACACCAAAAACCTTGAAATTAATCTTGTAAATCAGTAGCTTTTGGGGTTCAGCAAACATTTCATTCACATCTCATTTTTAAATATAAATTTACTTTAAAGAAACTAATAAAATCACTAGATTCACTTAATGTGTTATACACCAAATTTTAAGTATTTTGGAGATGTCCAAAGCACTAATTTGTGCTAGATTAGCACAGACTTTCAGAAAATAGCTTTTCTGCCATCTGGGTGAATATAGTTCAAGGTCCTTGTAGCTGGGTCATTGACGAGGAAGATTACAGCTTTGCATCTATCCTTTTTCATTCACAGAAAACCCCAAAAGCAAATTCACTATTTTAGCAAGGGCATCTACTCCTCTAAGGCTCTTTCTCAATCTAGGAGTTAAAAGGGCAGTGTTGAGTCCTGCTGCTACTGTCAGGACTAAATGTAATATAGTTCTTGTTATAATTTTAAGGGCTTCTTGTCTTATCAATTTGTGATGAGGAATACAATTTATTGTCAGATGTTACTGGTGGTTCAACTCTTAAGAGAAAATTCATTTTTCTGATTTCCAGCTTTTGGGTCAGTTTAATTGAAAAGTACAACGAGACTGCATCCTGAGAAAGCTGAAAAAGTTAACCGTCTGCAAACACTAGTTCCGTGCAAACCAAGATACTCTCAATCCTGTACACTGAAGCAAAATGTTGAAATAAAGTGATAAAAAGATTGCACCTTCATCTAATCCCATTTCAAGTCCGAATTCATCGAGTCTAACATTGAAAGTAATTATTTAATCTTTTTAAAGCTGAGATCCTGTGTATAACCCAATTTTGCAAAAAGGAGCTCCAGGTTTTAAAGTTTAAAGAAATCATTAGTTAATGGAGAAGCCACAAATGTGATCAGATGAACGATTTAGAAACGGAGGCCGCGGAGAGCCCAAAGGCTGAAAGCCCAGTTACAACGCAGGAACAGCAGGCGGCGAGAAACGCTGGAATTTGGGGGCAATGGCCCCCCGACTCTCTGCGGACAAGGTTCGAGGAGACCACAAACACAATCCAAGGCCTGTCCCGGGATTTCCGAACTCCACACGGCGGAATCCGCACGCAGGCAGGGCCCCGTTTCTAAAAACCCTGCCCAACCCGACGCTTCATCCTCCCTCCCACAGGCGAAACTCCCCGCCCATCGCTAGGGCACGAATAACGACGGACACCAGAGCCGCTTAAGGAAGCTTACTAATTTTCCTCCGGGTAGCTCGCCACGCGAGGTTTCTCACAGGAACTTCGACGCGGAAAAGCCGCGCGGGCCCAGCCCCTTTCCCGAAGTGCTCTGCGGCCGAGCATGCGCAGCGCAGCCGCCTCGTTGCGTCCCCTTTCTAGAAGGAAAGGGCGACCTCGGAGTAGGAGGTGGGTGAGGGGCGGGAGAGATCCCCTACGACCTCCTAGGATCTTAACCCTTTGTCATATCTAGATGGCAGCCAAATTTGGACCCTTAAAGGCTGAGGCAGCGTGGATTGACACGGAGCTCAGGAGGGGCAATTAGATTTCCTGGATTCAAGAGATGTCTCTGTTGGCGACATCTGTAAATCCCAATTTCTTCATCCTTAAAGTGGGGATCGTTATAATGGCTACGTCATAGGATTGTGAAGATTAGAAAGGCCATGTTAGTAAAGTGCTAGGTGCAGAGTAAATTCCCAATAAAAGGAATTATTCCCAGAGATGGTGAGGGTGTTCGGGCTTCTTTCATTTTGGGGAGCTCTTAGTATATTAACAATTAACATAATCCCAAAATAATGTGGCAAAAATCATGGTAGGTTTTAAATGCTATTTAACAAGTTTTAGCACTTTCAACACCTACAGAAGTATGGGATCAAATGTGCCATTCCTAAAGTCATAATAGGATTATAAAAGATATATAAAGTTGAATGATGACTTTATTGCAATCCTGTCTTTGACCACATTTCTTGAGATACTATGAAAAGTCTAAATATGAGGCACCTTGTGAATGTGATGTCTAGGTCAAAAGAGACTCCTGACCCTGCTGTTTTGGTCCCTAAATATCCTCTGTAGTTAACCTAAAATTCAGACCCGTTGGTGGTGTTGAATACAGTATGTCTTCATGTAACATCATCAATAGATTCTGACTTTAAGTGAAACAAAGTAGTTATAAAGAAACCAATTTTACCATAGGCTAATTGATATAGACAAGTTAGGTTCCTAGGGCATCTCCTCAATGTTGTAATGAGTAACACAAACAATGTTATTGGAGAATCTGCTGTATTAGATTGGTAACTGAAGTTAATTTCTCCAACAATTATTCTTACCTTCCTAATATAGTATATAGAAATTAGGTATACCATTTTATTATTTGTTCCCTTTGTTCCCTTGCCTTCTTTTGGCTAATTTGAACATTTTTTAGTATTCCATTTTAATTTGTGTTTATGACCATATTTCTTTGTATACCATGTTTCCCCGAAAATAAGGCCAGGTCTTATATTAATTTTTGCTCCAACAATCTACATTTATTCATTTATTCATGTACAAAAATCTACATTTAGGGCTGGCCGAGTGGCTCAGTTGGTTAAGAGTTGGCTTAAGAGCGCGANAAAAAAAAAGGTATATATCATCATTACTAGAAAAGGTTAGGTTGGAGGATATAGCCTCCCCACATGGCAGGCCTGCCTCTGTGAGACTTAAGGCAGAGAACAACCAGAAAACAACTACTATTCCCTGTTGACAACTTGCTTCCACGTAGAAAGAAAAGAGGAAGAGGCTAGACTGCACATAATCAATTTATACTTCCAATCTGTCCACTTAGAGAAGTTACTACCTCAGCTGAGGGAGAATGAGAGGGTGGACCGAAGTTAGTACTATAATACTAATGACCGATCCCTTACATAAACAAAATGGGAAATAAGATATGTATCTTGTCTATATTTTTTTAGTTGTTGCATCTGAATCATAAATTATTAAAGCTGGAAAAGCCCTTAGAGACTCTTTCTTGTTAGATCCATGCCGATTGCAGATATGCTCATCATCTGACATTTTGGCTGCTAGAAAGAGTTTATTTCTGATAATATATCATTGTGTAAAACATTGAAATAAAGTCCTCTAATATTCTACTCACTAGAGATAAGTATTGTTAATAGTTTAGTGTGTATCCTTCCTTCCTGGCCAGGCTGAAGTTGAGAGTTGTGGTATTAAAAAATTAATTTGTGTGAAGCATCTGGAGTAGTAGCTGGTCCAGTAGGAACTCACTTGCTTCCTTCCTTTCTTCCTCCTTAGTACCCTAGAGCCTTCTCTAATCTGAGAATCTATGACCAGTGTTGAGCTGGGATGATGTGACCATAGAGTCTAAGGTGCATCTTAGCTTCTACCGTGCTGACAGACTTATGCCTGCAGAGCAGTAGTTAGGAGCCCAAGTCCATAGCAGGGATCCGTGACACAAGAGCTGTCCCATCAGGCCTTTCCTACTCTCTGGTTAAGGGGTCCCAACACCCACCAAGACCAGAGTTTAGGATTACTTCCTGGGTTAGCACACCATCCTGTAAGCTCTCTGTGTGAGCTGGGACAGGGGCTATCAGCATCAAGACTTGTCCTCTCCTTCTGGGCCTCTCCCACAGGGGTGTCAAGCATAGGTCTGGGCCCCACGGGGCAGTTGGCTAACTGCTGGGTTCACGTGGTAGCACCTACAGCTCTGCCTGTAACCCTGCCTGACCCTGCCCTGGCCTCAGGGATTTCTAAGCCTGTTTTCTTTTCTCTGGATCTCTGGACTTAGCAAGAGAGAAGAGAGCCGAGAGCTAGGGACATAAGTAGGAGAGTATGTGGGTAGAGGAGGCAGCGCGAACTGCAAAGTTCCCTCTGCCTGACTTTGCCCTCTGATTTACCTCAGGTGTCTTCCTTCCTTCAGGAATTCTTTCCTGAAAGCTACCCCTCTTTCCCCAGGTCAGGTTAATCACTCCCTCCGCTATTCTTGTTGATAATTTTTCCCTATCTGCCTTCCCTCTAAGGCACAAACTTTAAAATCCAAAATTTACTTCATCCATGTACGTGTGTCTAGTGCCCAGCAGTGGCTCTGGCTGAACAATACTTGATAACTTTGGGCACAGTGATGGATAAAACCCCAGAGCTGAATTAAGTAAGTGGGGGTGGGGGCAGAAGAGGGAGAAGGGGAATACCTTCCTGTGGCCCGGCCAGGGTTTCTGATGGCAGAGCTGTTCACTGTGAAAGGAGCTGCCAGGGAGGAGTTAACTCCTTGCCTTGAAAGGTGTGCAAATAGAGACCAAAGACTCCTTTTGGAATGATGTGGCAGGGATTCAGGTACTTCTCAAGCCTCAGACGAAGTAGCCACCAAAGTGCTTTCCGACTCTGAAGTCTAACATTGTAGGAGGACCGGAGGTTGGTCCCAGACAGGCACACCCTCAGAAAGCTGCCTCTCTGTCTTGTCATTGTCCAGATTGCCCGAGGCTACTCAGGATAATGTCACAGCCTAATCAACCCCCAGCTCCTATCCCTTGCTTGTATATGCACACGTATATTTACAGTAATTTAAATCACATACAATTTACAGACACACCTGCCTGTATAGACATGTTGCTATGAATGTTCATCTTCATATATCCTCAGATAAACATGTTTTAAACCTAAGCGCATCACTAAATAAACACTCAGTGGCCCCAATTTTTATACACTCCTTCAACCGTAATTAAAACTTCTTCCATTGCCCCCAGGCCCAGGTAAGCAATGTAGTTCCTTCCTCTTGGGATTGGCCAGGCAGTCCTGAGAGGGGAGAGGTGGAGAAGGCTTGGCCTGCCTGTGATGGATGGATTAATCTACCCATCTGGAGAAACTAAATAGTACTTAAATTCACAATCACTCCCCAAGCCAGCCAGGCCAATATAGCTGAGGTAGGGAGGACTCTGAGGCCCAGACCAATAATCTAGGTATAGGTCTGGTGGTGCTTAGGCAAGGAAGCACAGACAGAACCCTCTAGACCAGGGAACACTGAGATGCAGGCAGGCAGGTAGACAGACAAGACAAACAGACAGACATTCTCTCCAGTGATACAGACTCTCTCTTTCCAAATGGACTTGGAACAGTTTTGGAAAGAAAGCCACTCCGCACCCCCACCCACTAATATAGATTCTTATACTCTAAGACAGGGATGTTCTTCATTTTGTTCTATGGGAATGGTTCCCTAATCCATTTTTTTGGAGGCTTTTGCTTCTGCCCTCCGGGCTCATGGCTTTACCCCCCTGACAAACCTTTCTTTTCCATAAGAAATGGTTAATATCTGCAACTTTCTCAGCTTCTCTTTGCTCATAGAAAGTTGGGAACCCAGAGATCTTTTTCATTTCAAACTGTCATTTCTCCTTATAGTCTAAGGTTTTGGTTTTGAGAGAACCCAGCAGTTAGCCAATGGCCAAAATGCTTCCCTTAAAAACTTTGTGGGTGTTTCATGAATCTTACTGGGATTCACTCCATGGCCCCCAAACCACATCCATACTTCTGAGACAGAGCTCTCTCTACTTTGGGTATGTCAGATTGCTATGAGATAATACCCTTACGTTTCTTAAAAGCCCTCTGTCTAGATGAGAGGGTCCACGAGGCACTGTTTAACTCCTAATGTGGTCTTACAGCTGCACTATTAAGTTGATCTTAACCTCGAGGCCACATTTTTGCCTGCAATATCCTAGATTCAATCTCTGAGGTCCTTTCTTATTTTGATGATATTTTGCCAGCTGGAGTGGCTGTCCTGGACCCTTTATATTTTGTCTGATTGCTGCTGAAAATGAAATAGTTCTATCTTTAGCTTATTTATTTTTTGCAATATCTTATCATAGGTGGTTAAAATAAATCAATAGGCACTTTCAATGTTGTGCCTGGGAATCACCTAAGCCAGAGAGATCCACAAGTTCATTAAATACATTGTCTATCTTCCAAGTTATTACAGGTGACAGTGCTGCCAAACATTCTGCCACTACATAACACTGTTTAGTCTTTCTCTAGCTTCCAATGTCAAATTTCCTTACTGCACTTCCAGCCTCCACTAACAGCCTCCTTGNTTGAACTCAAGTTTTATTCATCATAAAATGCATACAACTCCTCATCACTGTCAAAACTCCCAACCATTAGCTTGTCCTCATCTGTCTGATGATGAATCACTGTCTTCATATATTGCCTTGTCCTCAGTTCCAACTATGGCATTTGAAATCTACAACCACTGTATAAGACGCACCCAGTGTTTAGACCCCAAATTTTTCGAAAAAAAGGTGCGTCTTATACATGGGGAAATATGGTACCTTTTTAGTAAAGGTTTATCTTTGCCTTAA